GAGATGGGTGTCTTGCTCTGTCACCCCAGGCTAGAGTACAGTGGCAAGATTACAGCTTCCTATAGCCTTAAACTCCTAGGCTCAAGTGATCCTCCCACCTCAGCCTCCCGAATAGCTAGCTAGGACTACAGGTATGTGCCACACACCTGGCTTCATATAGCTCCCCGCATCCCACACTAGACAACCAGGGAACATACAGCTTTTTAAAGGACATACACAGAGACATAAATAATGAGAAGTGCAAATGGACTCAAAGCAATGCTTTGCAAAACTTTCACATATGTATGTGAATTAAGAGCAATGTAGACAGGGTGAATGATTTCCTATACTCTGATTTTGTTTAGGTACAATGGGCCCGGAGCTATCCAGAGCCCATCCGGTACTATTCAACTAACCGCACATCATCTCCCTCCTTCAACACAATGTGATCCAGGAGGCACCTAAAGCCTCCGTAAGTGCCATCACAGGAATGTACACCCTGCTTTACCACTCAGGTTTCTGGAAAGGAAAGCAACTGCTGAATTGAACCATGGGCTTACTGTGAGTGTGGCGAGTGACATGAAGCCGATTAGGTTATTCCATACTTTATCGATGTCCTTCAGCAACTGCTGGAGTTTCTCACTGCACACCGCAGTGGCCTTTATCCCCAGCTCCACACGCTTGGTTACCCTGTACACTTCGACAACACCTGATGGGGTGAGAGAGCAGAGAGTCAGGCACTGGAAGTCTAGAGAAAGAGATGAGCAGGAGAGGGCAGCATTACTGTTTGCTGATATCTTAGTTGGAATTAAGATGGTAAGACAGGGGTGGACAGAGGTGAACTTACTATTCTTTGGGACCAATCTACCCCCAACACTGCAGTACAGCTTACTGGCCAGAGCACAGACTCTAGAGCTATGCTGCTTGGGGCTCAAATCCCACCTTTGCCTCTTACTAGCTATGTAACCTCGGATAAGTCATGTAACCTCTCTGTGGCTCACTGTCCTCAAGAATAAAGTTGGGATAATAATAGTACCTCCTTCAAGGATGGCTGAGAGGATTAAATGGGTAAATACAAAAGGCTTAGAACAGGCCGGGCGCGGTGGCTCGCGCCTGTAATCCTAGCACTCTGGGGGCCGAGGCAGGTGGATCCCTCAAGGTCAGGAGTTCGAGACCAGCCTGAGTAA